AAGTATTGGAACAATATGGTCTCTAACTGGGGGCCCATATATAGGTTTACCTTAATATCCTAGCTAATATATGAATATGCTTTATGATATTCTCTTTAAAAGTACTACAACAGACTATACGTAAGCTACCCAATGGCTGGCTAAGTCCTACTTGCGCAAGACCATCCTACAATCTTAAATAAGTATAACTCACAACAGCTGCTTCTGATCTCTAGTACAACGGACTTCGTAGCTCGAGATTGGCCTATCTTACCTACCCATAAGACTTAGTAACGTAGTCAATTGTGCATATTAATCTAGCTCTTATCCACAGTGTTTCCCCGAAGAGAATGTAGTCTGTACGCACAGGTATCTGTGTATCGGCTCTTTTCACAAGGAAGGGAAAAAGACCATTACGCCATCATATATTGATTAACAGTACCGATCAAACCTTGCGTTGGTATCAAACCAACTTTACAACATTTGTAGGTCCACTGTCTGGTGTTATATAAATCGGTCCTTACTTGATAACCCAGTTATAAACTATGTTTCTTGCTGTACAACAGGCGACCCCGTAACCTTTTACCATAATGGTCACTGTTGGTTTAATTAGTCATTAAAACCTCACAACGGGGTAAACGACAACTAAATCTCCTTACGGCTCTGCCGTGATTTAAAAAACAAAGAGAGAGAGAGAAGAAAATAACAAGTTTTACGCTGTGGCGTGGTGTATTTTCTACTTAGATGTCGATAGCATTAGCTAGTTTGTCGTTAACAACGACATGGTTAAAAGTTTCCGCTCGACGACTTTCAAAATAAAAATTACGACCACTAGGCTTCACAATTTAACGAGACTGTTTAACATCTATTCAACGTAAACTGTTTAACGGAGGCAGATTGTTTTCTCCTCTGAATAAGCCGAATACAAAGCTTGTAATATCGGGAAAAGGAACATAATACCATTTTGTATTCAATCCGAGTTTGCTGTTAAACAGGAAGCAGCACGGTTCTTCTACGTCTAGCTTGACTCAATGGTTTGGTCTTAGTTGCTTAGTAACCGAGTAGCGAGCAATGGCTGCGCCGTTTCATTGAGTTGGATTTATTCAGTACGTTTATTAAAAATAAAAATAGAAACATAGATATGGATTCCAAACCAAACAGAAAAAAATCAACCACTAACTTATCTTTTACTGCCTTTTAGTATGGTTTGTCACTTATCCTCAATTAATATTAGTATAATTTCCTCGAAACGACTCGTGCGCGCCCCAGTGGCCTAATGGATAAGGCACTGGCCTCCTAAGCCAGGGATTGTGGGTTCGAGTCCCATCTGGGGTGGAACATTTTCTTGGTATTTGTAGGTTTATCGTTCTTTAAGATACGTTTCACTTTACACAGTCATCATTGAAGCTGAGTGCAAACATCACAATAAAGATGAGTGATTCTCACTGCTTGATTTTTCTTTCTTTCAAAGACGTACATACCCTTTATACAAAAGTATAAAACATTATAGTATATGTCATGAAATTAAGTTAAATGAATATCACTTTGGACCAATGAATCTTTAGGTTAAGTATATGAAGTCCAGTTCACCGTACAACAATCAGCATTATTCTCACTTCAGCTCAGCAATGTTTATATAATGACAAATCAAAGAAATAATCCTCTGAAAGCAGTTTATCTTTCAAGGTAAGGACATAACAACATTTTAGAAAGGAAGCTAACAACCCAGGAATCCCATAGTCAAACTTACGCACAATAAGGAAACATAAAGAACATTAAAAAAATAAAGAAATTACCTTTTAACAGTAAGAAACCTGCAGCAGAACAAAACTCAGGGAGGGGCAGCCATCTGTGACTGTTTGTGTGGGGATACAATAAGGATGTTAACTGTAAGACACAGCCGCATTTGTCCATGTGAAGCTGGGAAATACTGAGAAAAGAAAAAGTTATATACATCATAGGACATTGACTGGCAAACTCAATGAAAAGCAAACTCCAAAGCAACAAAAACACAATTATAAATGCATGGCTTGAAAGGCAAATAAGTTATTTTGTTTAAATCAGTCTCTGAAGGCTACCTAGGTAGGCAGGCAGGTAGGATTTGTTTGTCCTCCACAGTAAAAACAGCAGTTCAGACACTGAAATTCACCATAAAACAATTTTGCATGTCCATCTTGATATTTGTTTCTACAAAACAAATATCAAGATGATATTTGTTTCTACAAAACAAATATCAAGATGGACATGCAAAATTGTTTTATCATTGTGTTAATGATCCATAATCCACATTATGTTGTAGACGGATTGTACATAGATATGTTAATTATTCATGTCATTAACTGTGTCTCCTCCTTTATCAACTCGATCCAAGTGCCAGAGCTCAAAAAAGACAGTCTCATTCCTCCCGTGAGAAGAAGCAGGACGGAGAAGATCGTCATTGGAGCGCTCATTCTTACCAGTGCCTGCAGGTTGGCTGCGATCCAGATTGATATCTCAGAAGACACGACCTTGTTAGAGGCAGAGAAAATGTGCATCAGTAAGGGTCAGATTCCTCGTATCAGCTTAATGTGGTGAAGAAGAAAATGACCTGGGAGGGGGCCATGAGGCACTGCAGACAGAGTAAGAATATCCTCATCAGCCTGCTGATGTAGACTATTATAGAAATGAATTATAGTTTGTTTTTTTATTAGCAGTAGATCAGCTAATCTAGAATCTGACATCCAACTATCAGACTCATTGAAAAATGTGCAGATGTCTTAAAAATAAACAAATACATAAAAATGTGTACAATTTTTATGCTGAGGGAACAAAATTTGTAGAAACAGTGGTGAAAAAAATATCTCAAACATATTTTCAGCAATATGACTTTTTCAATAATGATTTAGCTGCTTGTATTTACATGAATCTTTGTGTGTGATATCTGTAGTTGAAGCAGTCTCTTGTCACCAATTTTGCATTTGAAACCTTTCATAAATCTTAAATGGGCACCTCTTATTCAAAGATATAATCAAAGCAAATATTTGGTTCTGTGCATTTTCAAAAATATTAAATAGTCTATATATATATATATTTGCCTCATTTTATGCACTTCATTCTCCTGTCCAGCATATTGTATGACTTTGCAGACTCTTTAATGTTTTCTACTTCAACAAATTGTTCATTTATATTTCAACCAGTGATCCTGATCTTGAATTCAGTGTACAATAAACATCTGGCTTATTAACAACCAAATAATGGCTACCTGATATTTTATAACACAGTACATGTGACTGGGTCTCCCCTGTGGCCTCCTCCCGGTGGGACATGCCTGCAACACCTCACCCAGGATGCATCCTAGTCATTTGCCTGAACCACCTCAATTGGCTCCTTTCAATGTGGAAGAGAGCGGCAATACACACACACACACAGATGACGAGCTACAACTATGTAAAGCAGGCTCTTAGTGTATTGGCTCCTGGCTGGTTCTAGTTCTGATTGGCTCTTATTTTTTAACTTTTAGCTCCACCTCTTTTTGATCCTTTGTCTCACTCCTTCACTTTTCTAATGGCCTGCCTCTCCCAGAGAGCGAGAGAGAGACTCTGCACGTGCATTTATGTGCATTTTTGTGACGCCCACATAAAGACTCTTCTGAGAGAGCACACAGTTCGTGGTGGCGAGTCATCCCTGATGGGTGGACTCTGCGCCGTTAGTCAGGTCTTTGTTGTTCACAGCAGGCAACAATGACCAGTACACGTTGTAAACACAGCAGCCTGCTACACCAATCACACCACAGACTGTACCACACCATCCACATCAAGTCTCAATAAAAATGTCCTTTTAACACCTCATCAGGCAAGTTGTAATCAAATTTTTACCAAACCAACAATCAGTTGACACTGATTAAATCAAACCTGAGAACCAGAGTTATGTAAATAAATTTTGTAGCTAAATTCCTCTATTTTATGTATAATTAAGAGAGCGCTACAGCCCTTTTCAGCCAGCTATAAAGACATGAATGGGGTCCTCTGATCAAATATAATTGTCGTTATTTTTAGTCTCCTATTTCATCCTAGTTTATGTTTATGGTTGCACCAGCCTGACATTTGAGAACAGGCTGTTTTACAAAATTGTACAACCTGCGTCCACAGACACGTTTTAATGCACAGATCAATCCATCTGGGTTTATTTGGGGCCACCAACAACATATAATTAAAGCTTTATAGTATCACATCTGGTCATTTCTGAGCCTGCTTTGTGTTCATTGCACATTAGAAAATGGTCTGACTGCTTATTTTTCTAACATGACTGCATAACACACATTCAGTAGACCCTTTCACACCCCTTCAGTATATTTTCTTGCCACTGTTCTTTTAGAGGCTGTTGGCAGGTTGTGATGCACACTGAGGCTTCAGTTTTGCCACAGAAAACATGAGGGAAGCATGTAGAAAGAGAAAATGACATGTGAGCTCAAACAGAACATTTTGTTTCTCAATGTGAAATGGAAATAAATTTACTAAACAAAATTGTTCAGGAAAGTTTGTGCCGACTTCCATGACACAAGTTCATTCCTGCAATTTTGCAAGCAAAATGAACCTAGTGCTTATTTCAATTTTACTTTTGGCTTTGAAGCCTGACTACATTAACCACGTGCTTTAATGTTATGTCACCAACATGTCCTTTTAGTGTGAGATAAATCCATCAGCAGCTTGTGTTATAACTCTTGGTTAGTTTTAATATAGCCATTTATTTACCTTTATCTACCCACATTAAGTGAACTTACCTGGGTGGTTTACTCTCCATTACAGACCACATTACATCAGCATAATCAGCTTCAGTATCACAGAGAGATAATGTGTACTTAACATGTATGAACTGTGAAGGCAACAGTAGTTTTTAGTATTTCATGCGGTCTTTGCTGATGCTCTCAAAACTCACGTGAAACATGGAGGTGTGGGGGTTGGAGTGCATTAAAGATGATGGGCGGAGTAAAAATCCAGGGTGTGGTAATCAAATTGTATTTACATGATGTCATATGCATGAGATGCAGTGACAGAAGAATGAGGGAGTCAGCAGGAGGTGTTCCTCGATTTATTTCAAGCAATAACTGAGGAGGAAGCACAGGCTAAGGCTCATCACGCCAGTCGGCTGAACCAGCATGAAGACCCTGCTTTGGAAAATGCTCTTTATTGTAAACGCCTCGCCGTACCTGACAGGGCAGAAATTTGGTAAACATGTGTACGTGCAAAACAGGTTGAACTGGTATGCTGCTCAACAGTACTGCCAAACCAATTACGCTGATCTTTCCCCTCTAAGTACAAGTTGGGAAGAGAAGCAACTGAGAAAAGCAACCCTGGGAAAAGTTTCTGGTGAGTTCTGGATCGGTCTCTACAAAACAGGCACATACTGGAAATGGTCAGGAGGAGGATATGAAACCAGCATAGTTTGGGATGAGTCCCAACCATCTACATATTATAATCTTTTTGTTCGTGTGTGCTGGGACGGCTGTACCACGGGGACGGGATGGTTTGGTTCCTCACCATTGAGAGAACTGCCCTTTTTCTGCTTCAGCACAACAGTGATGGAGGAGAAGATGGCTTGGGAGGAAGCATTGGAGTACTGTAAAGAGACACACACTACGCTCACAAGTCTGACTTCTGAGACCGAGAACCTTTTGACCCTGAAAGAGATCCAGCAGGGCACCGTCACCGATCGGGTGTGGATCGGGCTGTGCTTCCTGGCTGATCGCTGGGTGTGGGTGGACGGCAGCCCTCTGATATACGAGGCCTGGTCAGTAGGGGATCGGGAGCACCAGTGTCCAGGTCGAAATTACTGTGGAGCTATAAACAAAAACGGAGTGTGGGAGAATCTGGACTGCAAAGAGAAACTCAGTTTCATTTGCGTGTAAATCCCAATTGCATTTGAGCTGTTAAAGCAAAGGTTTCTTTCTCAGTTTTTGTTTCTCTAGTTTTTGTGCTGAGATTTAGAGTCATCCTGTTTTTCTTTCATCCTATGTAGCGCAGAATGACAAACATACAACACGAATGTCTGTCAGCTTTATTTTTCTAAAAACAAATGTAGAAAAAGTGTGAGAATGTTTATTAGAATTTAACTTTGATGTAAAAATTCATTTAGAAACTTTTGCATGTGTAAAAGACTTAAAAATGGATTCTCATAGGTTTGCCAACCGTTTTGGTTTTTAATCTTTAGTGAAGTGGCATTACTTGACGTCATCTTTTAATGTTAGGCTGGTTCAAGAGAAAGGCTTCCTACATGCTGTGCTGCTGTATAAATGTTTCCCACAAACAGACAGAGAAGATCTGTTCCTTCTTAACCATATTCATCAATAACCAGCTGCTGATCCAGTGTGTTCCTCAGTCTGTGGAGGTACTCCAGTTCCACAGTCTTGGCCTGCAGCTGGTGACAGCGTTCATCATTCTACTCTGCAGCATTTCAGTTTAATCCAGGCTTATTTACATGGCAACAATTTTAACAACCTATAGTGGAAAGCCCCAACAATCGAGCGACCCCTTATGAGCAAGTACTTTGTGGCGTTAGACAGAAAAAACTCCCTCTTAGCAGGAAGAAACCTCCAGCCGAACAGGCTCAGGGAGGAGAGGTCATCTGCCATGACTAGTTAGGAGGAGTGAGGGGAGGGGAAAAGAAAAAGCGAGCAGCCCAGAGCTTCCAGCTGCGAGTGCTGATTAGAGCGGCCATCCAGTTCACAGGGGATCTTCAGAGCACAAAAAGGCTTCTGATGCAGTCCAGCTGCAGTGGATTGAAGTGCGCCTGATATCGGAGGAGAGACCTGAGACAACTGATTGATGCTGAGGACCGTTTTCAGCAAGGGATTCAGCAGGAGGCTAGCAGACTGAAGACTGACTGAACTTTCAAAATAAAAGTTTGGAGTGTAGTAGATAATAAATTTGTCTTTGATGGTCTTAGCATGAGAACAGATTGCACAATACATTAGTTATAAATATAATGTTATGGCTTTGGGTGCCAAAATGAATTAAATAAAACAGCAATAAATAATTAAATTAATGTCATTAGTTAATTAAATGTCTCATTAATTTACACTGAATATTAAATATATAAACAAATTCATTTCATTTAAAGTATTAAATACATTTTAAATTTTAATTGATAACACATTTAATTATTTAATGATGCCCTCCATACATTCTGTGGGAAACTGTATATGATAACAAGCAGATGCCTCATCATTGTTCTCACAGGCTAGCCCTAGATAATATCTACTGAATGTGTTACATCATCTAATTCTGTATATTTATCTTGACTGTGTTTAATAGCAACATGCATGTTCTGTCAGTAACGTGGATCACATTGTAGTCGGTATGGTTTAGGAGAGATGTTCTGGATACAAAACTGCGAATAAAATGATCAAACATCAAACTCCTCTTCATTTATAACAACACAAAGTCAAAATCACTTTTGGAAACAACAAAAACAAAAACAGGAGATTTTTATTCAACTTAAAAATCAGACAGGCACAGCATCTGTCTGAGCAAACACGTGCACAGACAGAGTGTCTACTGTAACACTGAATGCAGGACAGTCACAACAATGGAGGTGAGGTGGTGGGAATTATGGCACAGCTCAAGTTAAGACAGCAAACATGGAGGCTTTTAAATGAACTCCTACTTCACTACCTTTTTCCTTTAAACAGCCTGTAGGTCTGAAGAGACGCTCAGCGCCTCACTTTCATTAAACTGGGCTTATCTGCTGACTCACAGGAAGCCATTATTATAAACTCCTCTCACGTAAAACACACAATTACTTCTTGGTGGCAACCATCGCTGTTCTAAGATCGCACCGAGTGGTCTTTCAGTTTGCATTTTATGTACAGACACAAAGACATTATTCTCTATTATACCACCTCTTCTTTTATATTAATAATAAATAACATCTATGCAAACACTACAGGAATTCATTAGTGTGACCCTTTTTTTTGTTAAATCAGCAACTCTGTATTAAGTCACATATTTACAATTCCAGAATGAGGCTGTACAAAGACAAGATCCACGGCTCCATCACCGGTATGGACTCTTTATAAACATGTCAGCGCAATGATTAAGCAATGCTTCACTTGGAAGCTTAATATTCTGGAAATACTGTTTGATCAGAGGAGGTACCCGACTTCAGCAAAACCTGAAATACTTAAATGACTTCAACTTCGCCTGGTAACCTAAATATATATATGTGTACTAAGAAAATAAATTTGTGAAAGTGCTCATTTAAATGCAGGGTGAAGGGCAACCTGCAGCGCCTTTAAAGGTGGAGTTTTCTTTTAAACGCAGAAATCTGTGTTTACATTCAGTGTTTCCTACAAAAATCAAATCCCTCATCATAAAATAAAGTCAAAGTTGCCTTTTTTTTAATTTATATATATATAATGCTACTCCTGTGTGCAGAAAACAAGCAAAACTACCGAGAATTAAAACCACAGTGCTACTGAGAAGCTCCACAGGTTGTCTCAAAATGAAAAATCCTACAAATAATCAAACAATTTATTTATAAAATTCATTTAAAATAAAAACTCCATAAAATCCTGACTTTTTTGTTGGGTTTTTCTCGTGAGATGAAATCACTGCTATTCATTGATTTAGCTACAGATGTGGCTATCATTACGCCGAGTCGAAAACGCACCATAGTTTTATAGAAACGTAGCTAGCAAAGTTTTAAGCAATACAGCAACAAAGGCTTTAACACAGTTATTAGCATTGGCCTCCATTTTCCCATAATGCAGCTGTGTGAGTACTGATTGTCTGAGCCTGAAACAAATAAACTTCTCTGCTTCTTAAAAAAAAAAAAAAAAAAAAAAAAGATCAGTCAGCAAGTGCGAAACATTGCTCAATCTTGTCAGAACAAATATGGCAGAACCTGCAGTGCTTTGCTTCTTCATCGGATGTAAGGGACACCAGCTTATTGAGTGTCTCGTTCGTTTCTACGGTATTTTAAAACATCGTCAAAGGCAACTCTGTTAGCCAGAAGAGCCATTGGCCCCGTTTTCTGATCGCTAGTAGCCATACCTCAGGAACATAAATATTAGGAGGGACGAGTTCACTTCACAGCAGGGAGTGTCACTACAGTCCGAGACGGACATAAGAGTGCTTCAGGTGTAACATCACAGTCCCGAACAGTTTCACACACACACACACACACAGAGCACTCCTACTCATGTGTTTCAGGCATTTATCCACCTGCTTCCTTTGCTTATTATCTTGTTACTGCTGGCTCACTGACCCTGTAAGCTCCTCAGCTCCATTTACTTCTTAGATGATAATAATAATAATAATAATAATAATAATAATAATAATAATAATAATAATAATAATACAGAAGTATCCTCTTATAGCTCTTTCCCTTCTCTTGCAGCTAAAAACTTTTGCTCTTCAGGATTTGAGGCCCATTCGAGCCATCAGCTGTTCATACACAGTCCAAGCCATGGCAGCCATGAGAGTGCGTCGAAGAGACCTGGGCACAGCTCCACGAAAAAACCCAGCCATGCCGTGCTCCTGAAGAAAAGGCCAGAGCAGCAATCCTCAGTTAGATGTTATATAATAGTGAAAGTGTTGCTTCTTACTGAAAAACACAACAAAAACGTGAGTACACACCATGTAGATGCGGCGAACTGCACCCGCTGTGCTACAGTGGGAGGGTCTGACTTGAATGTGAGTCTTCACTACATCTGCAGGCTGCGTTACTACTGATGCCATGACACCCGCAATCACCCCACAGCTGAAGTTCACCAGCGGGGCGTAGGGCGCCGAGGTCACCTCTGAGAGAAGAGAACCCGAGGATGTCAGATGATTTAAATAAAAACAATCAGTCAAACCACAGAAAGAGAAAAATACGTGGAAAACATTAAACATCACAGTTTCACAAAGAGCTGCGATGATTCATTGAGTAACTCGATTATAAAGCATATTCGACACAAATTTCTTGCTGCGATGTTTTAATGTTAAAACTCTGTAGCGCTCAGTTGTCTCCGTGTAAGCGCGAGCATTTCACCCACATTTTTATTGGCATGTAAATACAGTGAGAGGGTTTTTGACAGATGTTGTTTTTGGGTAAAATACTAAAAATATTGCAGTTTCTAAAAATGTTACACCATGAAGCAGTGGATTGTTAAAGACCTGTGCTTTTCTCTTTTGAATATTTATTATGGCTCATTAATAAGACAAAAGTATTTATCAGTATTTAAAGTGTGAAAGGGTATTTTGAGAACGGCTGCCTTATCCCATTACTCTATTAATCGATACTCAATTAATTAAATGTTTGATAGCGACAGCCCTAATGTACATCACCAATTCACTTGGCCACACCCCTAACAGTAGCTTGCAATTACAAGGCAAGAACCCATTTTTAGACAGTAATTACAAGTTACTATTAGGAGAAATGGGATGCTCTGTAACACAGGCCTCCCATCATCTTAATAATACTGTTTAATTACAGAGTAAGAAGGGGAAACAGGATATTCTATATTAAAGCCTTCACTCCTAATAGTAACTTGCAATTACCATGTAAGAACCCCTTTTGCACATTGCAATTAAAAGCCCTCACATCCCCTCAATGATACTGTGCACCTACAACCAGAGACAGAAGTAAGGTTACACAATAATAAAACATGAACCTCTAATATTACTAGATAATTAGAATTTACAAAAGGAAAACAACCTTCTTTCTTACAATATACTCACAGTATAATTATTGTTACTCAGTTTTTTTCTCTCTACCTACATTTTAAGCATTTGTCATAAACCATTTAATTTGTTTACATGGTAAAAGTTGGGAAACTACATCAGAGTCGTATTATGAAGCGCTACCAAGACATCAGCGCTCACAGTGAGGGTTTTCCACAACATGTTGCTTCATATGTTTTACATCAAGTGCTTTTAGCACAAAAAAGGTGTGAAATGGAAAGAAATTGTGAAAATGGGAATGCATCAAGTTCAGGATTTTTGCTTATAATTAAATAAAAGTTCTCTTATTCACAAGGGGCCGTCACAGCGGGCATCTCCGCATATCTTGACTGGGTAGATTTTTACCCTTTGTGGTTGTGTCAGAAAGACACAACCACAAAGGGATTTGTGTCTGCTCCCAAGACTGAATCCAGGATCTTTCGTGTGTTATGTGAATGCAGAAACTGCTACACGATGGAGGGACTTGTCAAAGAAAATAAAGGACTTTCTCTAATGGTTCATATAAGCTGGGCTACCTTCTGTGGTGGACGTGAATAAATGTGATTGTGATTGTGCAGCATACAGCTGCTTGCAGAATTTTTAGCCACCCAATTTACTTCTTCAGTCATTCATTATCAGTCTGTGCGCAGCTTTACTGATTTTGCTCACAGAACGAACTGTACAAGCACTAAATCCACCCGATTGATTTTCTGCACAAGCGTTAAAACACTAATGCAAATTTCTGCATTATGTTCCTGGCAAAACATAACTCTTCACATTTTTCTTAACCTTCATTTTGATCTGCTGACTGAGTGTGACTCTCACCTTGAGGCAGCGCTCTCTTGGCCTGGCTGTAAAACATGACGTAGATGCCGGAGAAAGGAGCGTCGCGGAGCAGCGTGGCAGTCAGCCCAGAAAACAGAGCCCTGATTCCCTCCGTCTCATACATACTCCTCAGAGCACCGGGCACACTCACATAACTGTAAAAGCCACTCTGAAAAACACAGAAAAATTGAAATGAAATGTCTTTAATCATGCGGTTGATTGAGTGACAATAGATGTAAATGACTGCTTTTGTATCCACACTACGTGTCTCCACAGAAAAGAGGGTCATAATAAAATAGAGCAAAAACCTCTGACTAAAAGCAGTTCCACAACAACTTTATTTTAAAAACAGATGTGAGAAGATTAGTAGACATTTCATCTCTGACCATCTGGCGTCAGAGTCTGTTAGCTGGTAGATACCTCGAAGCGCGTCTTGATGACTGTGAATGGTAACATGCAGACTCCGGCCACAGCTCTGGCACCCGCTCCGAGCAGAACTGCCTCGCCAGCGTTGGGAGCTCGGTCCAGGAAGAAGTGCTGCTTCAGGGAGTAGAAGGTGCTGAAGTAGATACCCACCCCAGGGATGCAGCGCACAAATGACTGCAGAGGGAGAACAGTTTTTGTTGTCTTGGTTAAAAACAAAGGCAGAATTTACATGGGTTTCTTAGAGGGGAGCATGCGCTATGAGTTTGAGTGTTGGTGGGAGAATAAAATTTCAATTCAGTTTATTTATATAGCGTCAAAATACAACAACAGTCGCCCAAAAGTTCTATTTATTGTAAGGTAAAGACCGTACAATAATCAAAAGAAAACCCCAAGAATCAGAAGACTCCTTATGAGCAACCACTTGGTGACAGTGGGAAGGAAAAACTCCCTTTTAAAAGGAAGAAACCTCTGGTAGAACCAGGCTCAGGGGAAGGGCAGCCATCTGCGTACAAACGTGCAACAAACAGGATTTGTTGTAAATAATGAAAACGGTGCATTCAGTTGCTCACCGGTGAAACACCTTTCCACAGACTGAAGAACTTCTCTGTCCTAATAACATTGATGAAAACGCTAAACATTCCCACCTTGGGTGCGCTGCAAGACAAAATTTTGAAATCAATACAAACAAATTAAATTGTGCAAACAAAAAAAAACATTACACACTACTGTGCAAAAAAACTTAAGCCTCCTCTAATTTATATTTTGCTTCCAAGGAGCCAGGCTTTCTGAAGGTCTTCCAAAGTTTTTTTATTTGGAAATTGGCTGCTTTTCCACCAATTTTCAGTCCAGTCCTTGTACCCGACCACTTTCAGGAACTTATTTATTTTTTGGTTTGTTAAGCCACTTAACACTGACCTATGAGTCATTAGAGCATAAAATAAGACACGTAACTCAAAGGATGAACCAGTGTTGTGTCTACAAACAAACAACTTAACAAAAATTTAATTCTAAATTGTATCTTTAGGCACGGCGGTTAGCACTGTTGTCTCACAGCAAGTAGGTCATGAGTTCGACTCCATCTTTCTGTGTGGAGTTTGCATGGGTCCTCTTCCTCCCACAGTCCTAAGAACTGTAGTTAGTGGGGCTAGATTCATTGGTGATTCTAAATTGCCCCCAAGCATGAACGTGAGTGCAAATGGTTGTCTGTCTCTCTGTGTTAGCAGATTGGCGACTTTTCCTGGGTGTACCCCGCCTCTTGCCTCTAACTGGTATAGGCTCCGGCCCATACCAGATAAGGATAAGCTAAGTGGATGGATGGATCTTTAGGGACTTTTTTAAGAGCAGCCTGTCATAAAAACACATCATTTGTTCCCATTTTCTTTACTTAAATCTAGAGACCACAGTTTGACAGGCATGAAACACTATTTTTGCACCAAGAAGGCGATTGCCAAAGAGCTATTAGCAGAAAATTCAACATGTTCAGCATGATGTGTTCTTAGGAAAATGGATTGGCCTCCCCAGAGCCCAGACCTCAGCAGTGACCTCAACCTTAACAGAGAACAGAACAAAGGGCAGCCAACATCCAAAGGAGAGCCTTGAACGTCCTTGAAGAAGCCTGGAGAACTATCCCTGAAGACTACTGAAAGAAATGACAAGAAAATTTGCCCAGCAGAGTTCAGACTGTCTTGACGGATTAAAGCAGCTACACCAAATATTGTACAGTTCTAATGACTTGAAAGTCAAACTATTTCCATACACTGCTCCACTAGTTTTCAATTTTCAAAGCAAAACATAAATAAATGAGGGGTGGCCTAAGACTTTTGCACAGTACTGTAAACACTCAAAGACATGCTGACAATAAATGGTTACAGCTGTGGTGAATCACTATTGTGAAATCAATTACCACAGAAATGATCCTTCTGGAGCTCTGTGCTAAAGAAAGGCCTCCACATGTGAAATAAATAAAACTCCACTTTTAAATGTTTACATTTGCTGTTCTCAGTGGCTGTAATTGCAACCCAGCAGCCTGACAGCATAATTACCTCCTGCTGGTGTGACTAATTGCCCCATATGGGTCATACCAAGAGATTGAGGCTGGCACTGCCAGAAGATTTTGTCCTCTTATGCTTTTTATGTGTATGTGAGTGGGTTAAAGTCAGAAAAAGAGAGGGGGAGAGAAAAAAGGATAAAATCAGAGGCATGGTGATGTACACGTGTCTGATGTACATGCAGGTGAAATGTTCTCACTGTGTATCTGTGTGAATGTGTGCACACACCCGGGCTTGGCATTGTTCTGCAGGGTCTGCAGTCGTGTCTTCACCAGATCCAAAGGCTGGAAGAGGAGTGTAGAGCAGGTGCCACTGAGGGAGCCACACATAAAGGCTTTGAGAGCTGGGTGAGCCTGAGGACAACGACAGACATAAAGAAGGACGATGGAGACCGACAGAGAGACGAGGAAAAGGAAGGATGGGAGAAAACCAACGAGAGGACAAGCGAGGAAGTGACATGAGAAAGAAATGGCGGACCAGAAAAGAGGAGAGAGACAGAAAACAGACAAGAAGGGAGATAAAGCAGAAAGAAATGTAAAGGATTAGTCACAGCGTAAAGAGGATAACGAGAAAAATATGCCGTTCAGCATCTTCTTCGCCACTGGTCACCTCTTGCTGAACGGCAGAGAAATCCGTAGATATTCATTCTCAAACAACTATGCATAAAAACAGCTTGACAAAGCAAAGAAAATATCATCATAAATATACATGAATTGGACTTAGGATTAAAATCTAAATATGTTTGTGTGACATTTCCACTGCAATAAAACACCCTGTAGCACAGAGCAGAGGCCAGGTTCCTACACAGTGGAGATGATGGAGATGTGTAGAGACAGTTCACTCACTCACTCACAGACACACACACACTGTCTGTTGCATAGAATTAAAGTGAGACTGAACATTATCAGTGGGTACATGCCTTGTAGACAAAAAGGCAGGCAGAATGTGACACGCAGACAGGGGCTAAATTTAGCTACACCTGAAGGTAAACTGTTAAACAGAAATTATATCAATTGGCAAAAATAAATAAATATTCCAACAACAATAACAAACCACAAATAATCATAATCAGCCTTCTATACGTTGCCTTTACACACACACACACACACACACGAGACACTTTAAATCACACGTTGAGCACAAAGATGCTGTCCTACCTTCCCCGGGATGCCCGGGGCTCGGCTCTGAGAATCCTGTTTTTCCTGCATTTTGCCCACTTTCACCTCCCTCTATCTGTGATGCTGCTCTTACAAATAACATATTATAAAATAAACCTCCATCTCTTACAAACCTTCCCCTCGCTCACTCGCTCTCGCCAACCTACAATGGCTTTTCTCCTGCTTCCCGTCCTCCCTCCCCCATTTCAGCAGCCAAAGCAGAAGCTTAATCTAGCCCACGTTTTTCTACGGGCTTCTATCTTTATCTTTCAAACACACACACACACACACTCGCGCGTCTGTATTTGGCGCTCGCCCCTCTGTATAGCTCAGTGCTAGAATGCTTTTTTTTTTCAAATAGCATGAGTCATGGAGCAGTTCACGTGGACTTTACATTCAGGTCAATCATAAGGATGCTAGTTTTAGTTTTAACAGGAGAAAATATGAAGCTATACACTGAGTCACTTTATTAAGAATAGCTGTTCAACTACTCGTTAATGCAAATATCTAATCTAATTAATGTAAACATGGCCAAGACGACCTGCTGAAGTTCAAACAGAGCATCAGGATAGGGAAGAAATTTAATGTAAGTGACTTTCAACATGACACTGCTGTTGGTGCCAAACAGGCTGGTCTGAGGATTTCAGAAAACGCTGATCTTCTGGGATTTTTCCTACACAGTCATCTCCAGGGTTTATAGAGAATGGTCCAAAACAAAGGAAAACAAATCCAGTGTGTGACAGCAAAAATGCCTTCCTGGTGTCAGAGGTCAGAGAAGAACGAACACACTGCTTTGAGCTTTAACTAAAGCAACAGTAACTCAGATAACTACTCGTTACAACGCAAGTATGCAGAAGAGCATCTCTGACCAAACAACAGGTCAAACCTTGACGCAGATGGGCTAGAGCAGCAGAAGATCACAATGTAGCCAGTCCATAGATAAGGAAATAGGAAAATGAGGCTATAATTCACATGGGCGTCGATTTGCACCAATACTGGACAATACACGATTGAAGAAATTCAATTCAATCTTATTCTAAGAGTTTTAAGGTGCTTTACATTGTAAGGTAAAGACCCTACAATAATACTTTGAAAATAGACAAAACCCCAACAATCAAGTCGAGACCCTATGAGCAAGCGGATGAGTCTGGTTGGATGAGTCTCAATTTCTGCTGTCAGATTTGGACAGTAGGGTTAAAAATTGGTGTAAACCACATGATAGCATGCTCTTTTTGGTGTAATGTGTGTTATATTTTGTGTGTGTGACGACTTTGGGCCTCATAGTACCAACATAATAGAGCATTGTTTAAATGTTACTGCCTATCTGAGTATTGTTGCTAAAACAATTCATCACTTTAGGATTACAGTGTACAAGCCTGTACCTAATGAAGTCGCCTGTGGGTCTATACTGTCATACAAGGTGTGCATTTCCCTAGAAATACTGAGAGCTACAATTGAAATGGCATTTCTATAAGTAAGCGACAGACATCACTCATGTTTCCCTGCGCTAAAAATCCCAACTGTTATACGAGGGAAACGTGTCGCATCAGGTAATTGACCATTTGTCTGCACGCTGTCAATGACAAACATGGCAGCACTCACCGCTGCCAACTCCATCTTTGAGCTGGATGCTGAGCCGGACGGGTCCAGTTTCTCCTGTGCTGCCGCCGCCGTTTTGAAACCGGTTAGGTTAGGCCACAGTGGATTCAAACTGGAGAAATCAGATGGCAGCCATGAGTCACATTTCAAAACATTGAGGTTGCCGGTGTAGCGGCTAATTTAGCTGGCTAGCTAGCTGTCACCAGTGTGGTAAGGTGAAGTTAGGACATCGGCCAACATTCACAAGCCAGCTGTTCTTAAGTCATATAACTGCCTTAAAGCGACCAAAGATGTGAGCTCCAACAGGCAGATTAGTTTCAGATATTCAGAAAAAGTCATTCAAACACATCTAGCGACTAGCTAGCCTGGTAACGTAGCATGCTAGCTCCTCTTACCTGATGTTGTAGTGTTTCAGGGATCGCTGGAGGTGACAGCCACCGCTGTTAGCTGAAGAAAGTCCATATTTTATATTTACTGCGATAGTCTGAAAACATTTCCTTTAACCCAGCGTTACCTTTAACACGTTAACGCCGCCTGACAGGGCTAGCTCAACGACGTTAGTGTTAGCTAGCCAACTTCGTGAGTTGTGCGAAATAAAATGTAACGCTAACACGTCTGAGTGTGAGTTCCAAATAAACCGGGTGTGTCTTCAGTCAGACCACGATCACTAAACACGGGAGTGGTGAAACGCGAATCATCACATGTACCTGCTGCGGCTGTTAGTGAGCGGCCGGTAAAGTTCACCTGCAGGGCAAAGCCGACACACACACCCAGGGTATGTGTGTGCGTGTATTGTCAAACATGTTATGTATCGAGGTCAGTGTGACAGATATCCATCTTTTTTTTTCTTATTGAGCTCCTTTGACTTTTTCTACATAATTGAGTTTATCTGCTTACAGTGATTTATCATTTATTTATCTATTTCTGTCACAGTCACTTTTATTTGGCTATAATTGTATTTCGGCCGTTTTGCTATAGCAGAACGTATCCTTTACGTATGAAAACAGTTTGCCGATTTTAAACTTAAATGTTTAAATATTAGAATTATTTAAACATAGATAATTTGAATATCTCCTCCTAGTTTTTATTTTAGAGCACAAACCAGGACATGCATGCACTGTAAAATGTAAGTTTCTGTATTTCTGACAATAGCCTCAAGATGGCGCTGCTGTTCCACAGAAGATGAACATTGCAACATCAACAAGGTTTATTTGACATTTTCTTTCATTATTATAGGTTTAGAATAATCACCACTTGCTGAGTATACCAGAGGGACAGCTCTGATTGAGCTGTTTAGAGAACAAGGTAGTGACGTGTTGAGACGAGCCATGGTCGAGATATATTTGACAAAGGATTTTGAAGATTGAGCTGCCAGGCAGGAGGCAAAGAGGAAGACCACAGAGAAGCTTCAAGAATGTAGGAGGCAGATGATTTCCTGTGGCGACCCCTAAAGGGAGCAGCCAAAGATTTTACAAACACTTTGACAGTCTTTTAAAGGCGTCCGATTCCAATAAACACCACCAAGCAAGAGTTAATAGCAGAATAAGCAGTTTGCCATTGGCAAAGGTTTGGCAAGTTTCTCATGGGTGCAACCCACATACTCAAGTCTGCTGCTCAAACAACAAATGTGACAACATTTACAGGGAAATAACCAGGATTTCCAATAGCATAACATGTATTACCAAGAAGCATTATTACAAAATTATAATTGATCAAACCACTTGTGGCAAGTTTAAATGAAAGTAAACTACTTTTGGCAGCCTCCGTTTTCACAAGGGGTTACCACAGCAACATAGCTGTGCACGTCTGATTTTGTGCTGATGAAGGCCACAACAGTGAAACGTGAGCATGGTTGGCCAAAATAACATCTTCCCTGAAGCTTTGCAACTGCTCCTTTGGGTACTTTGAGTACCCAACATGAAGTTGCACAACATTTTGCCCAGAAAAAAACAAAACCACAACACACACACACACACACACACCATAACAAAGAGGGAACAATTTGGAAACCCCAAGATTTCAAGTTTTATAATCTGCAGCTTGTCCCACAGAACCTTTCAGTCATTATAAAGTGGACACATGATTACAGAAAGCAGCCCAAAGGCCGACTCTGAATCAACTACAGCTCAAAGTGAATAATCTCACAAGACAAGATTCAGATGCATTTATTCTCCATTTATTTCATTTAAGGCATTTTATAAAATGTAGAACAGCCTTACAATATTGGCATCGGTGTCCTGTAATTTCTTGATTAATACAGTGGCAGGTATTTACCTAAAATAGGGCAAGTTCAGCAGGTAGAAACGAATGTGCCAATAGAAACCATTTCAGCTGCAAAGCATAGCACAAAACAGGAGACAGATCCAATACATGATGACCCAACACCAGTAAAGTATAAAGCCAGTGCGTGGGGGCCAACCACCTATATTACTGCATTCCACTTAGAAAGATCTGAACATTTCAGTCGTGTTTGAGTTGGGATTGTGCAATCTGGCTGAGGTATTAACAGAGTGAGGAAGGGCATACAGTGCCAACGTTATACTGACACCAGCACAGTGTGAAGCACAAAAACTCCCAGAGTGTCCAAAACTAGCAAAGTGACAACGTTTTTTTCTCCCCCCCATTTAAATCAACACATCGACCTCCATCTCAGATAAACTGGAATGTTTGTTTAAACAGTGATATGTGTTATGACATACACGTTAAGTAGAAAAATATACTAAGAAAGTTTGTAAAGCTTTCATAGAAAACATTTGCCGACATGAGTAAGATTTGGCCAAACAGAAATGCATTACACTTAAAGCAGGATGAGGGGAGGGAGGGGATGCAAGGTTACATTTATATGCATTATTTTTGTGGTCCGAATTTCCCTCCTGGCTTCTCGTCCTGCTTTTCACTCAGCTGCACGTTCAGATGATTCACTCGGGAGTCCGCTATCATCGTCGCTGTCCCCAATACGATTCAGGTTATGTCGCAGAGTGTGAGACACGTCTCCACGCCTTAAGAAAAAGGAAAAACCATTAAAACACAAGTGTAGCACTTTTGGATTTTGGCCATCCTTCACTTTGTGCTTTAGTCCTGATTGCCTCAAGCTTTAAGAAAATCCTCAATTGTACACTTTCCCATAATGCATAACGTAGCAGGCTTCCTTTAAATGACATTCTGTAAATTCAGCTGCTTTTGACGGCTTTTAATTCTTTACCCCTTAAAGAACTGAGCGGTCTGTGTCATATTTCAGGACTTGCAGAACACAACAACTGGGTTTGCATCAGAAGTTAGTGAGGGTGGTCTCTGCCTATTCAGCTACCCTTGTAAAACCTAGGAAACTATTCTAATGGGCCTTTTTACTAATCTATACTGAGGTGTCAAAACTCATCATTAAGTGTTCAGCAAGGTCGTCAAATGTCACCTCAATGGGGCGAGCGCTGCTCAGCTGTTAACCCGAACACACTGTCATTACTAACCATTTGTTTTAAACAGTCCAGGAGAATTTTGTGTGACACATCTCATATCCTGGACTTGGTCTGACACTCTGCATATTGCAAGTTTAAAGTTTCAAGGTTCTTAATAGCAGCCTACAGGATGGTGGACAGAGTTAGTGCAGCAGCCATGCCTACAATCAATGTAGATTTTGTGCTTTGAATGCACGTGGTCATTATAATGTCTGTACTGTCGGCAACATGGAATATAAAACAAATTTCCTTTTTGGAAACAAAAGAATTTTCATGTAAAAACAAAAAACAAAACAAAAAACACGAGTTCCCCAACAAATGCCACTACCTAAGCTTGCTCTTCAGAGAGGAGACCTCACGGTTCATCGTGTCTGCTGACTCAGTTGCATCATCCAGCTCCCTCTGCAGCTTCCTGCGGTAGGCATTGGCTCTTGTCAACTCCTCCTCCGATTCCTCTAGCTGACGTTTCAGCTGACGCATTCGGCTATTTGCCTTTTCAGCCTGCGGAGAACAGTCAGTGTGGGAACAAGCACATTAGCAAGGAATCAGGCTTAAATATCAGGATGTCTTAGTCCTTGAATAACTTTGAAATTACAAGTAAAGCGTGATTGGGTTAACCTGATCTTTGTACTGATCCATGTTGCGCCTCTCGTCTTCAATCTGTACCAGCACCTCTTTCAGCTTCTTCTCTGTGCGTCTCGTCAGCCTGGAGGCCTGCTGACGCTCCCTGCAGTAAACGAGAGATATGTTGCAGTAAGAAAGCCAATGCAGTATATAAAACAAACTGTCCATTTCATCGCCCCTCACTTTGACTCTGTGTCGAGCTGTTCTTCCAACTGGGCAATCTTGGCCTCTAGGCTGGTGATGGTGAACTTGTACTTGGACTTGATGGTTCCTTCAAGCTCCTGCAGCTTCAGTTTCAGCTCCTTGTTCTGGCGATCCAGCTGTGAGCGAGCGCCCTCCAGCTGCTGGGAGTTGCTGCGCTCTGTGCTCACGTCTGAGGTCAGCTGATCGACCTTGTGTCAGACACACAGGAGAGTTACCGTACTGCTGATAACCACATGCCATATTCTGTAACCAATCCAGTGCCTTCATAGTTAAAGTTAGATGCAATTCAAGCAGGTTGAGGGTCACAGATGCCAACAGACTCAATAAAGTGACCCAAAAGGTCATATTCTGCCTCTAATATTCTTGATATTTATTTATAATCACCTCTGTAAATTCTTGATGTTTATAATTAAGCGATTTGTATATATTAATGCTGTTCTTAACATATTGAATTGTTTAAATAGTTTAGTCTGTCACTGTTACCATCTTGGAGCAACTGTAACCCACATAATTTCCTTAGGGATTAATAAAGTATTCTGATGATTAATCGTGTAGTGAAAATCTGATATTGTGGCAGACTCATGAAAGGCAACCCCTTTCATTTCTTTTTAAACTGGTTTTATGTATTGTTAAACCTACTCAACTAAAGTGTTCACTTTATTTCTGTGATAACTGATGACCAATAGAAACACTTAACATTAAATATTT